TTTGACAAGTACATTTGCAAGCTGTTTGCTGTGTTGGATGTTGCTAGAAATAAAAGTTTAGCTTAGCTAATCCTTATGGCTTGTTTAATTATTAAACTAGGTTTAGAATCTATCACTCAAGTATACAGTACACAAAGCTGCAGTAAGAGAAATCTAGAGCTGCCAATTGCCACTGAGTGTCATTTTCTTATTTTATAATGGATAGAAGCCCCTTATTTTGGAACATCATAGCAACAGACCATAATGGTGATGCCATAAGTTTATTCCCTATTTTACTTTAGCATAACTCAGCTTTTCCAAGGGAACCCCATTTTTTACTTGTTTTTGCAAAAAAACAGACTTGCCAGTGAGTTCAATAGGGCTTACTTCAAACTTAAGTGTACTCTAAGCACAGTCTGTCTTAGCTTTTCTGGTAACTTGATTTAAATCAATTTTTTTGTGAGATTTAATTCACTTTGATTTAAATCAATCCATCCTGGTTGTTTGGCTTGTCTTTAATGTCTTACACATCAATTATTAAAGTTTCTAGCTTTGGTATATTTGTAGTTTCACTACAACCAGCAATCTGAAGGAATATCTAGGGGCAGCTGTAGATATGCCTTTCTGGAATAAATTATTTCACAACGTATACATCACTCAGGATACGTCTAGACAACAGCGTTATTTCAGAACAACAGTTGTTATTCCAAAATAACAAAATAAAACTGCAAGCCATTATTTTGAAATAATGGTGAGCTGAAGGACTTCTTACTCCTACTCCTGTAACCCTCGTTTTTCAAGGAATAAAGGAAGTCGAAGGAAGAGTGTTCTTCCTTCGACTTCCTGCTGTGTAGACAGCACCAAACACTGAAATAAGCTATTTCAACTTAGGATACACAATTGACGTAGCTTAATTTGACTTCTGTCCTGCTGTGTAGATGTGCCCTCACTGTACATAACCCACTCCATTAAAGTCAGTTAATACAAATTCACTAAATTAATAGCTGCATGTTAGTTTTACAGGCAACCAACAGGCATAGTTCTGAAGCATAATGCCACACTTTGATGACCATCCAAGTCTCAGTGGAAATACTGTACTATGTGGGGAAAAAATTAAGATATTAGGCACTCCCCTAGTGTTTTTCCCTGCAATTCTCTCTTCTGTCCATACATCCGTTGCTTTGTGTTCTTTCTGCCACATCCTCTGGTCTAGGCATTTGTGTCACTCCATATTTCTCACTAAAGTATTCCTTCCTTCCTTCCTTCTTCCCTCCCTCCCTCGGCCTGAAGGACTACACAGTCATGGTAAAGATTACAAGCAGACTAGTGGCTGGGAATCAGCTTGGCTTTGCAATGCATAACCACTTTTTTGTTGGAATACACTGATTACCATCACCACCACTCTTGTGTAATGACAGAATATTATTTAAGAAATAAAAATCTAGGTGCCTGAATTTTCAAGACTTTGTGATTTATTCTAAAGCTGAGAGTAATTTCATATCTTAAAAGTAAGGCTATACGTAATGTTGCCTGCTGCCAGATATAATTCCTTAGTTTGAGTCCTATGTTTCCTGCTCCAGAGAAGCTTAAGTGACTCACACCCAGAAAAAGTGACTTTAAGTGGGGATGCATGAATTACTTTGGTAGCTTATAATCTACCACTATATGTTGGCAGTAGGAAACAGAATGGACAGTAATTAAAGAACAAGGATCCTTGTGCCAGGACTCACTGCACATCTGATCCTTCATCCAGACCCAGACTTTGTCAGATGGCCATTGCATAGCTTAGTTAACCAATGGCAGCAGCAGCAGCACAAAGGAGAAGCTGCCACACAAAGCTCTCCATAGTACAGCACAGCACTGGTTAAACCTTTCTTGTCCAGGACTCTCTGGTCTGGCAACATCTGTGGTCCTCCAGGACCACATATGTTGCTAGACCAGAGTGCCCCAGCCACAGAGGTTGAGCATGACTGGGAGAGAAGCTGGTCTGTTCAATGACAGCCTGCAGTGACTGGGTGGCAGGGAGAACCAGGAGCAGCTGCTGCTCAATGCGCAGGGCCATGGAACTCTGGGAACAGCTGCTGCCCCGCACAGGGTTGGGGGGCAGGGAGCAAAGCCCCAGGAACTGACTGGGAGTGCAGAGACAAGCAGGTGGACTGGAAAAGGTCAGGCCTCCGGGTTCTCTTAGGGCAGCAGCCAGGAGGAGAGACCCAGGAGAGCCCAGACGCCTGACCTCCCTATATCTGGAAAATTCCCTTGTTTGGGAACCAAGGGTGCCAGACCAGGCAGGTTCAACCTGTAGCTTACTTCAGACCATTCCATGGGGTTTTCTAACTGTTTCATTCAGTGCAACATTTCACAACAGACACATCCACTTTTGTATCGGCTTCCTTACCCTGACCCCCACAACGCTTTGTCCTCACAATGTTTCTTTCTGCACACTGCCCCAAAAGGCTTTGTGAATCCTTAGTCATTTGCAGACTAAGTGCACTAGAATAGGGTTCCAAGGAATATTTGGAACATTATGAAAGCTGCAAGCGTGTGATGAAGAACTTAAAAATAGTGGACTGCCAATAACATATCACTTAAACATTCTAAACATATTTCTTTGCTCTTTATTTTGGAAATTGTGGGCATATAATTTATATTAGTATCAATGTGAAATGTTTGTATGTGCACACCCCTCCCCCAAAGGAAGATAAAATCCTAAATGTTTGGTTAACTTGGGGGTTTATTCTGACTGTGACCTAGCTATATACAACTTTTTTCTTGCTGATTTTTTCTCAGCAGCATGTTTTTTTCTGAACTATATTTACTCCCAAAATATTCATGACTATCTGCTGGCCAGAAATACATTATGTAAGTGAATTCATGGAGATTTCCCACCATACAAGGTGAAGAGACAGTGTACTCTACATTTTTACTTGGGATTTTGCCACTAAGTTGTGAAACTGCCAATAATAAGTAATATATAATAACTGTTTGGAAAATATAATGAGGTTATTGTTCCTTAAGTGTCATCTTTTTATGCTTGAAAAGCTTCTCTCCTTCCTCCTCTGCTGCTGATTCTAATGTACACATTGGGGGATTGAACAAAGGTCACAGTCTGGATTTGCAGATGGTAATATAGAAATCCACCTCGGAACAGAACAATGGTTGGAGAAGAGGAATAAAGACAGCCAGTGATCAGTGGAAAGAGAGTCCTGGAGAGGAGCCATCTATCCAATAAAGATTCCAGTTTGGAACAAGCTCCTTCTGGGTGATACTCTTAAAAGGATTAGAAAGGAACCCAGATAGTAAGAGAGAGTAGCATTTTCTTGACAATCCATAAAAATGTTAGTGAGTGACCCTCAAGTGCAACAAGATCTCACTGGCTGATGCTGAAAAAAGCAGATTTTTGTTTAATACACTAGGAACTGTGATACTCTTCTGTAGAGGTAATTCGTACATTTTCTTCCAACATTTAAAAATAAAATTGCAGAAGAGAATTATTATAATTTGATCTTTGAAATTCTATGTACCCTTATATATAGTCTCCTCATACACATGGCAGATTTCCCTGACTGCACATTAAATATAATAAAAGATACTGTAGATAAATTTGAACAAAGCTTCTTTAGTGACACGTTTTTGTATTAACCACATAATTCAAAATACACTAAGGTTTAAGTAAAAGCACAAATGGGTGCATTATTGATCTGGTATATCTCATGTGAAATAGGTATAAGGTAAAATCTAACTAAATTCTGAATAGGATTTGTTAACCAACTAGTCAACAGTACAGAGACAAAGAGCAGAAAGTCTAAGAGTATTATTACAAGGCAGGGATGTAGTATCAGTTGGTGTGCAGCAAACTATGTTGTTAATGTAACTTTCATTTCATTCATGCCTTCTTATTATCACCAATTATCAAGGATTTTTATAATATATTACATGTCTGCCTGGTAGCTTAGTCCCCACAGGAAAAAATAATTCTTGTACAATTAACAGCCAACAGGTAGACTTCACTGATTAATCCAGTATGCTGTAAATTTCTAAGACTGCATTGAATCATTTAGCCTGATTCTAAACTCATATTAATTTTACACTGATGAAATGCCACAGACTTATGCACAATCCCCTAACAGTATGTAGTAGAATAGACAATAAAATATAATTATTCCTGGTTACGCTGATATAATGATACATCTTGTAAAATGGAAAATACCAAGTGTGGACTTTATTTTTTCAAGGTATGATTTGCTAGTATGACTTTCACATCTGACCTAGGAACAATAATTATTCTGAAGAAAGCAAAACCCCATGGCAAAAAGAACTGTTAGAATTATTTCATTTATACATATATATTTTCACACTGAAGATTTGCTAAATGATTCACTCATTTGTGGACAGCACTGTGCAGAAGTGTGCTCCCTTTCTAATGTGAATTGTGTATCATATTTATTGTTTCTAGGTTAATGTGGATATATCTCTCTGACAAATGTATAAGTAGATGGAGGCCCAGAGGATATCTGTTTTATTTGAAAAGCCAGTCAGAAAATATTGTGAAGAAAACCAGCCAAAGCATTGTAGGAACCAATCTACAACTTCAAAGGAGTACACTAATGAGGGCAGTTCTCCAGCACACTGATGCCAACAGCTTGAATACAAAATGACATGCAATGAAAACCCAGGATGTGGAAAGAAGATTAGCACAGTTAGATGTTGAATGAGGAGTCTCCTTATTAAGCAGGTAAATTGAACCTCTACTGATATGGACAATAAAAACACAGAGCATGTAACACGTTCTCTAATTTTTCTGATTGGAAAATAGTTGAATTGTCAGAAATATTAACAAACTGAACATAGTAACCAAACTCATTTCTCAATCACTGAAACCTTCAGGCTACCGGCTTTGAAATAGCAAAATCTCTTATCATGTGTGTCACAAGCTGATGATGACTTTCTGTAGAAAACAATGATGATTCAGGATATGGAGGCTAAAGTTTAAGCTGATTCTGGGCTCTTGGGTAAGGCCTCACCTCTGGGTCCTGTAATGACAGGTCGATGATGCTGGGTGAATGCCGTTCCAAGGGAGGAGGTCTGCGAAGGCGAGGGACTGCTGAAACCAGACTTCTCTGACTTTTTTAATGTGGTTGGCGATGGCTTTCCTGGCAAGAATGATTGATAAGTGTCATGGAACGACAGCCTATGCATTGTGAAAGTGGGTGCAGAAGCAGCTAAATAAGCTTAAAGGACAAATACAATTGAATACAACAAGCTGAAAGCTCACTTTTATTTATGATCTTTTTGGGGCAGAAGCAGCCCTGGTTTGCTCTGAGCAATAAGTACTAAAATGCAGCCATACTTTTCTTTTTAAATCTGAAGTACAGATAAGATACAGCTTATTTGTTGTTACTATTAAATCCTAACTATGCTTTATTTTATAGAAACTTGTAATAGTTATAGCACTTGGATTTTACATGGTTTTAACAGTTAACTCCGCTAATTGGCCCTTAACTCATACTATTTTATTAAACTATTGCACATGGGTATTTTAAGTGTGCTGCAAGAGCAATACACAAGGGCTATGTCTACACTGGTGCTATATTGCGCCAGAAATATGCAAATGAGGCTGTGTGGAATATCGCAGAGCCTCATTTGCATATCTAATGAGCCACCATTTTTGCGGAAGAGGCTCTTGCGCCAGAAGGAGCGTCTACACTGCCTCTTCTTGCGCAAGAAAAATCTCTTACGCAATGCCGTTACGCTGATTATTTTCAGGAATAATGGCATTGCGTAAGAGGGTTTTTCTTGCGCAAGAAGGGGCAGTGTAGACGCTCCTTCTGGCGCAAGAGCCTCTTCCGCAAAAATGGTGGCTCATTAGATATGCAAATGAGGCTCTGCGATATTCCACGCTTAGCCTCATTTGCATATTTCTGGCACAAGATAGCGCCAGTGTAGACATAGCCAAGGAGAGAAAGGAATCTCACTTCAGATTCTGAATTCTCTTATCCTTTCACAGCTTAGTTCAAACTCAGTTATTTTAAAATTATTTGTGTGGTTATCTTTGCTTTCTTTCTTTTTTATATTTTTATATTTTTAATATATTTTTATATTAAAGTCACAATTATTTTGTTTCATAGCAGTTCAATACCTATGAATACATAGCAGAGGCTTCCCATGGAAAACAGAACCATCACTGGGATGACAACATTTCTATTGACATTATATTGACCTTCAGCCCTGATGCAATGTTAATATGACCCTTTGGATTTATTCTTCCATGTGACCCATTTTTGTTAATATCATATCAACTCTGTGGGTCATTCAGCTCTGAGGTAATATTACAAATATTAGTAGAATGGATGTTTTGCAATGGACTTACCAAAATCTGCTATGTTTAGTACACTGCCTTAATATGTGTATGTGAATTTCTATATTACCACAAACATACATACACACATGTTCAGACTGTCCACACTGCATTTATAGCTCATTTTCAGTATATCTATCTATTGATAGATATGCAGAAAAAATAAGGTCAAATTCTTTAGGCTACAGTTGAAATAGCACAAAAGAAAAATGATTATTCTTAATAATGGTAGCTTTATAGTCCCCAAAAATATAATTTACAACACAAGGCAGTGTGCTTGTGCATTGCAGGAGTGGAATCTTAATGGGCCCAATTAAGTTTTGTTGCATACATATCAGAAAGTTAAGTAAAGAGGGGGAGTAGGTAAAGTCCCATTTTGTAGCAACTAGCGTTTGTCTAGAGACTGTTTTCTATCACCTGGTGCTGGCTGTTTTTTCATAGCAGGAAAAAGTTAACAACTTGATTTTATTTTAAAACAAAAGTTTAGAGTAGATGGACTATGGCACAATGCAACAAAAAGGGGATATATTATTTTCTCATGATTTTCTACAGTTATGATACATCCTTTTGATGGGAGGAGGGGATGTGAAGGTGGGTTTAATATCATATATGTGAATGAAATATTAACAATCTTTAGGATGCAATCTGTCCCAAAGTTGCCTTCTAATCTATTGGCCAAATGGATTTGTGATGTCACAAAAAGAATGGAGCTTAACAGGCCCACTTACGGGGGAAAGTGGGGGAGAGGACAAAGGACGCAGATGCTCCAGGGCCTGGTGATTCAAAAGGTCCGGGGCATCCATTGCCACTATTGCAGAAGCCCGAGGCCCTTTACACAGCTGCCAGAGCACCAGACAGTGGTAAGGGGTGGGTCTGGCTGCCCTCAGCCCTGCCCCTTCCAGAAGCATGAAGCCAACCTCCTCCCCTCCCTCGCCAACCTTGCCAGGGCAGGGACCCACAGAGACGGTCGGCTTTGCTGGAGCTTAATGAGTACATACTATGCTAGCAGGTGCTACTTGGGCACGTATGGAAGCCATGTTTCAGTTACTTATAACTTTATGTTTAAATGTGTCCCTCCACAGCAAGCAAAGATATTATTCCTCAATAAAAACAGTAGCCATGTCATAGTCCAAGTGGCAATTTCAAATATTTATATATTGTGTCTCTGTATGTGGCCATTCATGTACACCAGTATAAACATGTGTGCATACTCAGTACACCAGACTGTCCATGGGCTTGCACGCATGTGCAAGGGAGGAGATGACCATGTAATGAGTCATCCCAGTGGGTAGAAGGGCTATCCTTAGGATTAATGGGGCTGTACACAGTACTATTAAACTGGTGCTACTATGCCTGATGGCAGCCTATGGTGGGGCTGATTTTTTAGAAATGTGATTTTATAATCTTCAGCAACACACTAATGAAATACTTGTAAAGCAAATTTTCAAGTAAGGTCCTCTAGACTAACACAGTAAATTCAGAAACTGACAGTATATATCTGAGGTTGTCAAATGGCTTCATTATCATTAGAATGGCTCTTTCATAGGTTCAATGTTCTGCTAATAGGTCTGGAGACTTTTTCATTTTTAAGTTAACTAAATCCTCTCTGGAGGAAGTGAAATCGCAGACCAGGGATAAGAAAAGCGGGTGGGTGGGTGGATGTTAAGACCCAGTGGTGACCCAAATTTTCATGTGCCCTACACAACTGCATATTCTGTATATGCATAAGTACAACCTTGGTTGCTATGGCTAATCATAGTATTATGCTAAACGGAGAAGAGGAAGTGCTCCTTTGGGGTAGCTATGAAATTTAATCTGAGATTCTCTAAAGGGGAAAGGACTATGCCATCCCCTTTGCACTTGGCCACAAAGCTTGCTCGGTGCACCAGGGGAGAAGGCTGGGAGGATTCAACTCATATACTTGCTTTCGTGCTGGGGAGCTGAAGACAGGCACTGAATACAGAGAAAGGACTGAATTTTAATCCTCAATCCCGAGCACAATTATACTGTGGTGTAATTAATAAACAGGAGTAACAAGTGCTATTCATGCTTAAATATTTTCCAAATAAGGTACAAGTTGAACCTTTCTAATTCAGCACTCATTGGTTCAGCAACAACCTTGGTCCAGCATGATTTTAGTTAGCTGGATGTCCACTTATCATGGGTGTGGCCACATTTCCCATTATCTCATAAAGCTTGTTTACAGCCACCAACCCTGGCTCTCCATGTTCTGTGCTGTTATTTGGCTCTAATTTACCCATAAATGTCTTATAAGAGCCCAGTAAGCCGTGGTAGAGTTGGTAATGTTGCTAGACAATACTGACCTCCTGAGGTTCAGCAAATTCTCTGGTTCGGCACCAGTCAGATCCTGAGGGTGCTGGACTAGAAAGGTTCAACTTAATTAAATGTTTATCTCCACCTTAAGAGCACATCCCCTGTTCACATGGCTGGGCACACAAGGTCCCAGATGCAGTGGCAATATTGAGGTTCCCCCTTTGTAGTAAGGGCCAGGAAATGCAGAGTACCTCAGTGGCAGATCTCTGCACTGAAATTCAGAGGAGGGAATGAGTGTGTTAGGGTTGTAACAAGAGCACAATCAGTGGTACTGCACACACAGCCGTTCTAACAGATCATAACCCATGTGCAGGTAAGAGCAGTGTTCCACTTTTCACTACAGTCTCTAGTGCGACTACTTGAGGGCTATAAAACATTTTAGACAGCCCATAAACTTTCTTCTGCTCTAGTGCTATAAAACTGCTTAATTGATTTAAGCCAACTTTTGTTTAGAACAAAACTCTCTTCTGAGGTTAGAACGTATATGTACCGACCCCAGACAAATTCACATGTCTGAGTTATAAACACCTAAAGATGAGGATTTATAATGAAAAGGCCAAATGATCTTGAACTATGGCAATGCTGAGTGGTGTCATTATCTAATGGGAAAGGTTTTTATAAGGTCAAGACAGCTGTAATGTACAAAGAGAGCTTTCTACTATAAAATTAGTTGTGAAATAACCAATGGGTAGAAAAACAATGTGATGCCAGAATTATAATTAACTGTTCCCCATTACCATCATTTTAACCTATTGTTAAATGGTTTGGTTTTAAAACAATAGACACTACTGGATTTTTTATCTTGTCTTACTTTTCATGCTAAATTATTACTTTATTATAAGGGATTGTATAAACCAGATCTCAAGGGGAAAACAGCTGCTTCAAAGTTCATCATAATATACAAACAAGATTTTAATTATTTAATTTAAACTTGACTAAGAACAGAACAGGAGGATGAGTATATTTTGTCCTTTAAGATGGAAGAGGTATAGCAGTAAGTTATGCAATGCAAAGCAGTTAATATCATTCACATTTTACGATGCACTAGCACGGTGCCTTTGAAGCAAAATTCAAACATTCTATGAATGGGTTAAGAAAAGAAGAAATACAGTCTACATGCAAGAAAAAGGTTTCCAAGAACAAGCCAAAACATGTCCCATTCTTCTAAATTTATCACAGCCATGTGACATCATCCCTGAGACTGCCAGAAATGACTTTTTTTTTCAATTAAAAAAACCCCCTCTCACTTAGCACCATATGTTTGGTTGATGTGCCTGATATATCCTGCATATTCCTTAGTCCATCCATTTCATATATTCATATTTTATTTTCTGAGGGTGCATCTACACAGCACAGTTACTTTGAAATAATGACTTATTTCGAAATAACAGCGTGAGCATCTACACAATAATTCCGTTATTTTTAAATAATTTAAAAATAATGGACGGCTTATTTTGAAAT